TCTGAGGGCCCTTTCGGGTAACTCCCATGCTTTGGGGACGCCCAATAAACAATTAGTACCGTAATTCACGTGTATTCTTCATTCACTGAGCGACCCACACCCTCTTCAACATTTAAGTATTTTTCAGTGAGACGCTGAGCTAGTCCGGAGGTCTGTTTATGTGACAGGTAAATGACCAGGTGTAGGCTCACACGTAACAGTGTACTTAAAATACAGTTATTTTGTGCTCGACTACTACCATATTTCCGTGAAAAAATTTTATAATGTAACTGCCATATGTGTATATCAGAAAATTTTATATGAAAATTGGCAATGTTAGGCCATTATTAATCTTATGACATTTCTTCATTTAGGCGCAAAAGTATTAGTGGCAATTGGAAATCAAACGTTGGATCAGCAATGTTGGAACAATTAGCAGTTACCGAAAGACATCGATCTTGGATAGATTCTGTGGCTCAACTATTTGGAGGCTTAGATGTATGTGCGATTGAGCTTTTAGTAGGTAAAGATGGACGAGAATACATTATTGAAGTAAATGATAGCGCGTTATCTTTAATGGGAGATTCACAAGAAGAAGATAGACGTCATATTGCCGATTTAGTCACAGCGAAAATGCATGTGAGTAATAACCTCCATAACAGTATATTTATTGATCAATTCTGTGTATTTTTTGGTGATATATTTACTAGCTGATGAGCCACTCGTTATCACGATGTTATCATTTTCCAGTGTTTTTTGATAGGCTACGTGCTTATTTTTATCATGGTGCTATCTAAATAACTGAGATAGGATGGATAAAATAATTAAATATAGAATAGAACCTATGTTCATTAATGAACAATTGGGTTTTTGAAATTTTTTTTTCTTTGTGATAAATGGAAAGATCATATATAAGTTTTATAACAAAATTATTGTTGGAATGTTGAATAAAGTTTAACACAAGATTTTAATTGAACTGAATCTAAGTTTATTTATTCTTCTATTAAATATAAAAACACTTCTAAACAATCTTTGATATCAAATAATATACGTACTATAATGTTAACAATATATAGAGAAAAAGTACTTGAGTTGTAACTACGTAGCAGCACGTAATACCGCCAAGTGTACAAGCAACGTGTGCGAGCCACAGCGAGCGAGCGGGAGAGTGTGTCGTACGCGCAGCTAGGCTGCGCGTAGACCGACGCCATCTCAATCAAAATAATAATCATAATTTAGTTGTCGCTTTGAGCGGAAAATATAAATATAAAGTATAATAGATACATAAAATAATAATTAGATAAATGGTTAAGAAAATCTTGTACTCTTAACAACTACTTTTTTTTCGCAATAATTCAAAAGTTATTTCAAAATAAAAATTAATTTTTGAATCCAGTTTCGAAGACACGCCGGCAGCTCCCGAACAAACCCGAGCGCGTGTAACTTCATAATGTTAGTTTTCACTCATTGCATTTGATAGAAAAATAATAAAAACAGTGTTTTGATCTATTTAATTTTGTTGTCATTGTTAAATATTCAAATTTATATTAAAAATGTCGAACCTCAGAAGTTATCGTTCTTGTTTTGTACCATTATGTACGAATACTACAAAAACAACACCTGACAAAATGTTTTTAAATGTTCCCCAAGATGACAAACGTTGAAATAAATGGTTTCAAGCAGTGCACCGCGATAATCCCAAAACAAAATCGAATTTTTTTTGTTGTGAAGATCATTTCGATGTAAGTATTTTTTAATACCATTTTTATTAATTATTATTTATCTAAGTATACAAATCAAATAATTATTATATACTTAAGTAGAGTTCAGTAAATAAATTTTTTTAACTGGACTCCAAATCATAACCTATAAAATCATAGCATTAAAAAAATTTTTCATTGATAATTTAAAGTGCTTAAATAATAAATTCATGTATCTTTATCTAATGATTGGGATTCAATTTGATATATTTATAATTTTATAACGTTCGAGGTTATGTATTTGACTATTAGATTAAATTTTTTTAATTTTATGTTATGGTGGTTTTTCTATTGTTATAATAACATTTAAATAATTCTTATGATTTCTGTTTTTGTTCCAGCTGAAAGTTGACGTGTGGAAAATTATATTTATTATACACGATTGGACCCGAGAAAAAATGTTTCTATATAATCATATATAATTGTATATAATCATATATGATTATATATGGAATCACATATATAATTATATAGAATTATATATAATTATATATAATCATACATGATTATATATGGAATTGTGTATGAGGTTATATATAATCATATATAATTATATATGACTATATATGGAGCGATATACAACCATGCAGGATTATATATAGTTCCATATACAAATATATATAAGTATATAAAATTATATATAATCATATATAATTATATATGACTATATATAGAGCAATATACAGCTATGCAAGATTGTACATAGTCCCATATATAATTATATATGCTTATATATAATTAACATACATAAAAATTTTTTCTTTGAAAAAAAAATTTTTTTTGGTAATCACAAAAAGTGTAAAATGATGGTTATAATTACGTTTAAATAATTCTGAAATACAAAATTTGTCACATTTCCTATGAGATGTTTTGTCTGCTCTGCTACTACGTAGTAGTAAAATCATTATTTATTTTATTATTTAAATAAGTGTTATATTATAATGAAATTCGGTAAGGTAAATAAATTATGAATTATGACTATCCAAATATATTATAAAATCAATTTTTATATTATATTTATGATAAACTCATATGATACATTAAGTAGATCATAGAATCATTATTGTCTAAGATAGCAGCACAGCAGACAGAAACTTCAAGACGCACGGAGATCACCAAAGTTAAGCAGCATTGAGCAGGGTTAATAGTTGGATGGGTGACCACTGGTATTATAGCCATAAAATTAGATCTAGATATTTTTTTTGCATTTTGATCGGTTACACAGAATTGCGTAGGACCATATTAAATACTCTATCCATAAAATTAACCCAATAATTAATTAGATGTAATAAATCTATAATTAAATATTGTTATATATAATTTTATATAGTTATATATAATTATACATAATTATATATAATCAGATATGATTATATTTGGCCATTTTTCATATATAATCAATGATTATTAATCACATACAACCAATTTATATATAAATATATATAATTATATATAAATATTTTTTTTCGGGGAGGTAAAGCAAAGATTAAAATTGTTGTGGTACCACACAAGTTTGACTGTCAACCTAATCGTAAAAGACAAGGCACTACAACGATTCTTAGACCAACTGCAAAAAAACGACAGAGACAACAAATCATCCAAGAAATTTTAAATGAATCGTAAGAAAATATGAAAATTGGTAATCCTCCAGAACCAAACATTGATGCCGTATCAGCCAATACTGTTGGAAATATTGGAGTAGATTTTGCTCCTTGAAATGTAACACCTGGCCAAATAGTCACTGTTGAAATACAAACTAATATTAACAACCGTACTGTTGCTGTACAAGTAAATAGTCGTCCTAAGTATCGTAGCATATCAGTTCAATGTAAAATTTTATCAATCGGAATCGATAAATCCTGCTCACCAATTAAAACTGGTAGCATTAGTACTGCAACATCTCCAATAAAACCATTGCGTCAAAAATTACATCCAAATTTATTGAAAGGTCCCTAGCGGTTTTGTAAGTGCCGAAAAAATGTCACACCCAGTAAACACGTTTACGTCAATGTGACGTCAGAATGACATTGGGCTATGTCAGGATTTACGTAAGATATAAGTCACGAATGAGTCATATGTGACTCATTATTTCACACTTCCTGACGTAAGATTCTGACGTAAAAATATGACGTAGTCATAACGTCAGTATTATGTCTTAATGAAATTTATGACGTAACTGTGATGTCTATATCATGATAATGATGTCATTATGACTTAAAGGTGATGTAAAAATTGTACCTCAGAAAAAATATTTAAAAAAAATTTCTCAAAAATAAAAAAATTGCAATTTCGAAATCAATTACAGTATTGTGGACTTATTACAAACTTTGAAACACTAGATATATGTAAATATCTTGATGCAAAAATCTTGAGGTATGCTGGGTTCGAACTCGGGTCCTCACGTGTCGAATTCTGGAACGCTGCTCACTTGTCCAAGTAACGGTTCATGTCACGTAATAACTAACTTATGTGTTAACCCTTACATAACGAAAAATGCTTATTTCAGAATTTTTTCTGAGATTAAATGAATTTTAAGAGCTGGAATTGTATACAATTCAAGTCTAATAATTTATACAATTTCATAAAATTTCATCAAAACTCATGAAATTTTATAAAGTTCTATAAAACTTTGTAAAAACTCTTATTAAAGGCTCGCTAGTGAAACTTGCGGTAATGAATAGGCAATTTATAAATTTTCATAAAAATTGATTTAATCTTACACTTTCAAAAATTTTCGTGGAAAAGCGGACACAGAGAAACTTTACATGGTTGAGCAAAATTTTTTCAGAGTAAACGATATATCCGTGTCACTTGAATATTTTTTAATACTTATTTGATTTCTCAAGACTCGAATTTTTTTTTTTATTTAATTTTTTCCATAAATTTAGTATTTTTCATTTGGATTTTTCTTCTTCGAAATTTCAATTTATGAAATTTAGATTTTTTTTCAAATTTTAACTCTTCTACTTGATATAAAATACTATTAGTCTCGTCAATGACAATCATGGAACTGATTGAATTATTTCTCATACAATGTTTCATAACCCGGAGAAAACGGTTTAGATCTGACCAGATATAATTATATCTGGTCGGATCTAATTATATATGGTCAGATCTATTTATATCTGGTCAGATATGGGATTGGAGACATAATCAGATATAAGCATATCTGATCAGATCTAAACAGATATAACTATATCTGAGTTGAAAAATTCATCAGACATGAACAGATATAGTCATATCTGATCAGATCTAAACAGATATAACTATATCTGAGTTGATAAATACATTAGAGATGATCAGATCTAGTCATATCTGATCAGATCTAAACAGATATAACTATATCTGGGTTGAAAAAAAAATCAGACATTAAAAGATTTTATTATATCTGGCCAGATATAACTATATTTGTTAACTATTAATAAATAATTATAAACTATTTCACTAAATATACTTTTCTCCAAAATAAATATTTATTGAATGTTAAAAAATATTTATTTCTGCCCTCCGGCCGGAAAGTGGCAACTTTCTGACCGCTGCGCTAAACAAAGTTGCCACATTCCGGCTACGTCGAGCAGAAAAATAGTATACACACCTTGGCCAGTAAAAAGTAAAGCCTCAGACCACATGTTTGTCAACCTCGGCTTCGCCTCGGCCAACAATTACATGTGGTCTGAGACTTTTCTTATTTTACTGGCCTAGGTATGTAATATACTATTAGAATTTAATCAATTAAATAATTGTCTTCGAATAAATTAATTTGTTAATAGTTAATAAATCTTTCTATCAGCGTATATTGATCATTAATAATTTGCAAATTTGATAAAAAAACATTGTTCATTACGCATCGATCATGGACACGATTCACATTACTTGTAGTTACTACAAACTCTACTCTTCAAGTAAGCTTTGTTGGTAAACAGGTAATGAATTAGTCTTTCAAGCATCAGGTCC